AAGTAAAACCCCCAAACATTCGGGGCGGCCAAACGCCAAGCAGCGAAAAGCCAACAGAGATAGACCCAAGGTGACTTGTGGAAGGCAACCCCAAGCCCCAAGGGCGGTACTTACAGGGCACTCAGGGAAGGTGACCCTAAGCACATGCAGCCCGAGTACCTGAGAATACTACTCCCAGCTCACACGACCACCGTAAGAGCTGCAAACAAGTCACAGCACTGAGACAAGACCGGAGCTGGAGCCACACGACCGTGCATTATCCCATCAGCCGAGGAACTGAGGCCGGGATCGCCGGCGCGGGGGTCTGGGGCTCCCCCTTCCCCCTCCTGGGGAGGGGGGAGCTGCGCAGACATGCGGCACGGCTCGTATGACGTCATGCTTGTTAGTTCGTTTTCCTGAGGGAGTTCTGTCCACTCGTTTGTCGATTTTTGTTGTTAACCAGAATAGGGGTTTGTTTTGTGGCGCTTACCTTTCTGGGTGCCTGTCCCGGTCGATGGCAGATATAGAATGCTCCAAACCACATGTGCATTTCTATGGGCCATTGCTCCCCGTGCCTCTCTGAGGGGGCCAGGTTCTGGCTCATGGTCCCTGGTAGGCCTAAAACTCCACCCACATCAACTGATGCAAAATAGTTAGGGTATCCATATCAGCCATGGATAGCTCTGGGGAGCCTCCAGTACTCACCCAGAAAATGGCGTTTAATTACATTCAACGCTGGTTTTTTCTCTAACTACAATACAGTACATATGTTTATCTTACCTTTATGGAGGACTCTTGATGGCGTATGGAAGATGGTGAGGAGGGGGGAGGAGAGGTGTTACTGTTTGGAAGGGGACTGCCCTTCCCTTATAACATCAGGCAGTGAGGATTTCTCTGGGGTACACATTCTGGCACATTTTGCCTGCATACCACTAGGACCTGCTTCTGGTTCACTGCTTGATTTTCTCACTGGAAATTGTTCCATTGAAGATTGTTTTACCCTTCTTTCCAACACTTGTCTGTAGTGAGGCATCACATTGTCATCAAAAAGATCAGTGTAATGGGCTGTTAAAGCTTTATCTGGGTGATTCTTTTCAGCAAAACTTTGCAATCCTTCCCATACTCCACACATTTTCTTAATTAAGGAGGAAGGGACATCCTCTAATGCCACTGCCTTCTCCTCTGAAGATTTATTGTACTGCCTAGCTAGTTCAACAACACTAGTACCATTTTCATGGTTTACATATAACCTCTTGTTTTTCCTCTATGGTCATTCTTACATGTCTTTTCATATGTTGAACCTTACCACTGACTTTCTTGGGACCCATAGCATGATATATAATAATCAGTTTTATGTTCAAAAAGTACAAAATCACCACGAAAACGAAATTACTTATAGGCGTGATCATCACTAAGCGGGCAGCTCTAGTAAACTGAGGCAGGTTGGCCCGCGTGACCGGGAACCACATGCTCGGTCGACCCAAAAGTGTACCAACAAATATCGTTAGTTGACGACACTATCGTAAGTGGAGTCGCATTTTTCTATCAAATTTATATCATAACTCGAAATTATTGTAAGTTGGGGCAATCATAAGTCGAGGTGCCACTGTATATACATTTTACTGATTTTGCGCGTTCACAGGTAACTTGGCCGACTTTAGGCTTTGCTGTGGAAAGTCACTCCAGGCTTTTAGACCTTCTATGCATATACCCCTATAAAGAATTCTATTGTGAACACGACGATACCAAAACGAACGATGTAACACGAGAAATAAGGTGAGAAAACTGAAACGAATACAGTACAGTATATACATTTTACTGATTTTGTGCGCTCATGGGTAACTTTGCCGACTTTAGTCTTTATACTTTGTTACTGGTATTGCTTATATATATTGCAGTTGTTATTGCTTATATTTGTCTTTCTATTTAGAGCATTTTATTGCGAATAACTTGATACTACAATGAACACCGTTGCACAAAAATGTCTGTTAGCAAACTGTATGTGTTTGTCTGGTGTATTGGGTGTGGCAATGAGTGTGGTCTAGCGGGTAAGGCTTCGGCGACTTTAGAGGTTGTTGCAAGTTCCCCCCCCCTCCTTGTTGCCTAATTTATATGCATATGTCTGTGTAGGAAATTTTATTGCGATCACAGTGATATAAAAAAGAACAATGTCGAACAAGTTTGGACTTGATAAACCTGAAAAGAGTAGCAATATGTTCGCGCTGTTTGGTGTGCACGGCTAACAAACGCCTTAGTTTTTTATTTGGTGCCGGCATCACGTTAGCTTTGGTGACATGTTATACGTATGTTCCTCTAGAACATTTCATTGAGAACACATTGATACCAAAATGAAACGCGTACATCGAAAATTACGGTCAAAAACATGAAGAGAGAGTAAACTTTTCAGTAGGGGTGTAGCCGATGTGCAGTTGGGGGTGCGGTAGTGGGTAACCCTTGGGCAACTTCCCATGGTCTTGCGGGTGGGGTGCGCCCATGTTTTGTACTTTATATTCATATGTCTGTGTATGGAATTTTATTGCGATTACAGTGATATCAAAATTAACGACGTAGAAAATTCTGGGGTTGACAAACCTAAAAAGAGCATAAACATTTCATCGCTGTTTGGCGCTCACGGCTAACGATCACCATAGTTTTTTATTTGGTGCGGGTCTCACGTCAGCTTTGGGGAAATTTTATATAGTGTAAGTGTTATGGTAGTGTTCTGAGCACTACTCTCTTGTTGTTCTCAATGGTCTTCTTTCCTCCCTTCCTTTTGGCGTCTTTTCCGCTCTCTATGTAGACGATCTTACCCTTTGCTGTCGGGGTGGTGATTCACCTCTCCTTCAACGGCGGCTTCAACTTGCGATTGATGCCATGTCGTCTTTGGCCACCAATCATGGCTTCAAGTTCTCTGCATCTAAGACATGTGCTGTGACTTTTACTCGGAAGCGTGTCATTCTTTGTCCCTCTTTGTCACTTTATGGACATCCCCTTGTATCCATGTGGATTCCGCTAAGCTTCTGGGGTTAATCTTTGACACTCGTTTGTCTTGGTCATCCCATATCTCTTGCCTCCATGCTGAATACTCGAAGGCCCTTTCCCTCCTTAATTAAGGTTTTGTCCCATACTTCTTGGGGGGGCAGATAAGCTCCTCTCTCTACATTCCTCACTCATCCTATCTAAGCTCAATTATGGTTGCCCTGCTTACTCATCTGCTTCTCCTACTCTTCGCCGTCTTGATGCTTTGCACCATGCTGGGTTGCGCCTCAGCTCTGGTGCCTTTCGTTCGACTCCCGCCCTCAGCTTGTATGTTGACACTGGATTCCTCTCTCTCCAGGACCACCGGGATTGCTACTGTCTTCCCTGTCTGGCACGTCCTTGCAACATCCTTCCTCTCACCTCTGTCGTGCTTTGACTTTTACCCCTCCTGTAGTTTCTATTCCTCTTCACCACCTCCCTCTTTCTGTCCAGCTATCTCGCTTACAGGTCTCTCTTTCCATTTGTCTTTCTCATATTTCTCCTCGTATTGTTCCTTCCTTGCCATCGTGGAGGGTCGTCCTCCCGAAGTTTTGTACATCCTTGACCCGCATTACTAAAGCTTTTGCTCCTCCTATGGTTCTGAAAAGCCTTTTTCTTGAGCACTTTTCTTCACACTCCCGCTTCGTTTCCATCTTCACCGATGGGTCTAAGTCTGTGGACAGTGTGGGCTACTCCGTTGTTTTTCCTGACCGCACTTATGCGTTGCCTCCTTTCGGAGACTAGCATCTTCACAGCGGAACTTTATGCTATTCTCCATGCTCTCCGTCTCCTGCTTTCTCGTTGTCAATCCTCCTTTGTAATTGTAGTTGACTCTCGTAGTGCCCTCATGGCTCTCGGGTCCTTTCATCCTGTCCTTCCGGTAGTCATCGAGATTTAACATTGGCTGTTTCTTATCTCTAGTAAATTTAAATCCGTGGAATTTTGCTGGGTTCCCAGCCATGTATGTGTTTCTTTAAATGAGCGTGTTGATGCTGCCACTAGAGAGGCTATCCGCTCTTGTCCCGTTACCCGTAAAGGTATTCATTTTTCCCACTTTTACCCAGTTATTCATTCCTCCATCCTTGCCCGTTGGCAGAGTTGTTGGTAACAAACTGCGTACTCTTAAGCGTTGTGTCCCTGTGGCCTTCCTCCTACCAACTTAACCGGCGGTGGGAAACGGCTCTAGCACGGTTGCGTCTTTGCCATACTCGCTTAACTCACGGTCACTTAATGGAGCGCCGCCCAGCTCTTTATTGTCCAAATTGCATTGTCCCTCTTACCATCGTGCATATCCTTGTTGAAGGTCCTGACTTCCAGAACGAGTGTGTCTTGCTTTCCGACTGCCCCTCGCGGTCACTTGTCCCTCGATAGAATTCTTGGTGAATCGGATGCTTTTGATATCGTTCGCCTTATGCGTTTCTGTTCTCATATTGTCATCCTTGGTGATATTTAGCACCCTCTGATTATTCCGCACATGTGATGGTGCTACATAGCCTTCCTGGTTTGGTGCCTACTTTTGATAATTACTTACTTTTAATGAACATTGGTATTTCCAGTGTACCAATGTAAATTTTCACAATCAATATTTGTATTTCTGACTAACGTTAAGAATGGTTACAATTCTGTCTATACGGTATTAAATAAGTTTATAGTGATTGGCATGCAATGTCTACAAGCTTTGTTCACTATATTTTACCCATGCTGTACATTCTCTGAGTCAATACCTTCTTTTCCCATAACAGTTATCGTTTTGTACATGTAAGTGTCAATGACAACAATACGCAAAATAATTAAGTAAATACAAAAGAAACTGGCGTTGGGAAATAATTATCATTTATGGCATTTAAAGTTTTCAAATAATTATTCCCCATCAAATCAGCATAGGAGATTAAGATGTAAAATAATCTCAAATTGATCAAGATTGCTAGATTGGTAAATATAAATATATAATGGTGTTTAGTACTGATTAGTAAACAAACTTAACATATTTGTTCCCACTTTAGGCTCTGCCAAGGTTCGATGCTGCAGGAAATGTAAGTAAAGCATACATAATGCAAGTGAGCTGGTCAGCTGACCATCGCATCATCGATGGAGCCACCATGGCACGATTTTCCAACCTCTGGAAATCATTCCTAGAAAATCCAGCAAGAATGATAGTTTATATGAAATAAAAAATAACTTGTTTAGGATTAACAATATATTTGGTTGGCAGTAGCCTTTCAAGTTTAATAGTGAAGGATCTTATAGGTATTAAAATGTTTTGGGGCAATATGCATTTATTTATCCTTATTATACAATCATTATTGCACATTTAACTTCAGCATCCTAACCACTGACCTAACTTGTGCGAGGCCGAATATATGCACTCTAATGCCTGATTTCTTGTATGTACAATACTAGGCCTAGGGAAGGTTAAGTTGAGTGCTGACATCTTTTTTGGTCCCTTTAAAAATTAAATAGCACAAAATATGGTCTGCAAAAGTCAATATTTTGTACATTTCATCCACAGCCACTATTGGTATTATAATTTTGGAAGGGCAATGTGTGCACATCATGAAGTGACCCATGTACTGTATATCTAAGGAAGTTAAGAAAATCAAGTTTTTGTATTCTTGATTTATATGGTTTATAGGCAAGTGCAGTTTATTACAAATTGATAAATTATTGAATTTGATGTTGTTAGTCAATATGTAGTCACAACTCTTCAATCAGTATTGACACTTTCACATTCTGTTGATACTAAAATGCGTCGTCAGTACTCTTAACAGTAAACATTTTGATGATTCTAAAATGCATCATCCGGTTGCTATTCATAAATTTTCATATTCATCACTCACACATGATCTATTATAAATATAATTTTAATTTTTTTATCATTCTATACAGAGTTCATTTCCAAAAAATTTTGATACCAAATTTATAGTTATACCCAACAAATAACTTAGAAAATGTAAAATGACTAAACAATTTTTACATCACTGAGTGTCCTGCAGAGCCCGAAATGTGTATAGTCAGGAATGCATGGAGAGGCTGGCCTACCAGAGTGTTAAATTGTTCATTAATTCATTTTTATTTGGGATTGACTGGCCGTAGTCTATTTGGAAGACACTACTTATAGTTCTTTTTTCGGAATAATTAATTGTGTCCAATACTTTCCAATTCCACCATATTGCTCCAAAAAAGTTTCTTTTGGATGTACTGTATCACGGTATTGTGATTTAATTGTGCATTACTTTTCAAAATTTCATATTTTGTAATTTATTTATTTACAAAATTTCTCATTTATTATCAATAACTAACAATTTGGTTCTAATGTTATGTGAGGAGTATATATTGAAAAAATCTCTGTACAGTATACACCCCCAATGTTTATAGATGACCATAAAATTTATTGTTGAATTATTTAAGTTTTCCAACATTTCTCTGAATGTGCGATAGTAAAGGCTTGTGAATCGTTTGTGTAATTGAACAGATGGCCGTTTCCCCTAAAGATGGTAACATGACTTTAATTGAAAGCTATTTTAATACTCTGGACAGTACAGTTCCTTACATCCTGCATTTCCTTTACATCCAGGATGTTCCCTTACATCCTGTAAATAAAGTAATAAATCAAGAATTTATGTACATTGTCAGTGGCCTAAGTCGTGAACTCGAGAAGAAATCATCTGCACAAATGCTAGACAAAGAAGTAGCTTTCTATATACAGTCTCACAAGGTGGCAATTCGCCACACAGCAAAAGGTAGCCTTAATTTAGAATCTTTAACCATTTAACTGTGCAACGCACCTGCAGGCCCACGTCTGGGGTGCGCTATGCGCCTCCTACGGGTATTTGTATTTTTCACGTTCCATTCAAAATTCCCGGCCTGTCATATTTGGAGGCCGTGCAGTTAAGGGGTTAAATAACAGATCAACAATCATATTGTCCCCAAGTTAAGAGAGGAACCTCCGCACTGAGTTTGTAGAGCTCTGCATACTAAACACAATATTGTAATGCCTCATAAATCCTAAATGATGGTCAGGTTAAGAAGTTCTCATCAGATAAATCACTACAGCATTGCCAACTAATTTTCTGCTTATTTGTATATTTTAACATTTTTAATATATTGAAAAGCCCAGTATCAAAAGTGAGCTACTTAGGTATGATAGAGGAAGGATAGACATAATGCAAGTTTAATCAGTGGTTAAATTAATCCATACTGTATGTCCTCAGTCATACTACAGTATCAGGGACAATACATGTAAAATAAAATAAAATTGTGTACTGTATTCATAATGTGAATAAAAAAAAGGTTTTGTGATTACGGTATATCTGTTATCTTAATTTGTATAGAATCCAGTTGAGCCTCGATGTAAATTGTAGTTTATGTATTGTAATGTTGTCATTGGTAAACATTATTTGTTGTGGTGATTGGCAACTATGGATGTATATAAAAAAAATTCCTCTTGAGAATTTATCTTAGTCACCTACCATATGACACATTTTTTATTTTGTAGCATTCCTACAGAATCTCTTCATGATTTTGATAAATAATTTTATACGTTGCCATGGCTAATAAATTATTTTTGTAGATCAAATATCGTGCAGATGCTAGTCATGATATTTTGTTAGGTATATAGTTGGTTTGGTTATATTTTCTGAGAGAATGAGATTTATTTTCTGCTTAGTGTACAGTTGTAAATATTTCCAATAATATTGGAGTTTGTATGTTGAATTATCATGCAGTTATTCATAGTGCAAAGAAATTTAGTGTAGAAAGAAATGGGTTAAAGGTTAGGCATGTACTGCATGAGAAGGTGATCAAAAAGTTCCAAAATAAATATCATGTACTGTTTTGTGTAAACACCTGCTTGATTCCTTGCTATTTGACCCATCAAAGAGAATTGCAGAATCTCTATCCAATGCCTAACAGGCATGTGAGAGTAATCTGTGACACTAATTTATCATAAGGTTCTGAATCATCCTTTGGCTACCCATACAGGGCTCTTGTACAACTTGCATCACATAGAGAGGCCAATTAGAAGTAATCCCAGGTGTCATGTGAGCAGTGGAACATATTCATGATACACACAGAAATCACATTAACATGATATATCAAATGAACAAATCCAGAAGGGCCGTGATGAGGGTTCGAACCCCATGCACGGAATGTTCCCAGATGCTCCTTGGTCAACTGTACCATGACAGGGTTAAAAGACTTGCACCCTGGAGTGCTAATGCCCTCGCTAGGATCCCAAAGCTTCTCCGAAGCCCAATCGGGGTTTCACACTATACCCCCATGCACCCGGGTTCTGTCAACCAAATGTTCTACCCCCTACACCCTTACTTACTGTGTGTATTGAAGTAAGGGCGTAGAGGTAGAACATTTTGTTGACAAAGCCCGGGTGCATGGGGGAATTGTGTGAAACCCCTAATGGGCTTCAGAGAAGCTTCGGGATCCTAGTGAGGGCATTAGCACTCTAGGTTGCAATTCTTTTAATCATGTTGGGGTACAGTCGACTAAGGCTCATCTGGGAACATACCATGCGTAGGTTCAAACCCTCATCATGGCCCCTTGTGGATTTGTTCATATTCATGATGTATTAGGAAGCCAACCTCTTTAAATTGCCATATACTGGCAATGACACGTTTCCCTTTTAGTGCAATATAGTACTGTACACATTAGCAGGTACATGTTCTTACAATCTGCTTGACTGTTGCAACCCTTAGTGTTCATGTGGTATATTCATATTCATTATGAGAACTTTTGATCACTCACATACATGTAGCCTTACAATTTGATAATTTGTAACTGCAATAGTTTATATTGCAATCTGATGTTAGTGTTCTGTATAGTAAGCATTTCTTGTAAATTTGATTTGTAAATAAAATCAAACAAATTATTCACTGTTCTTAATGTTTGCCTTGGAAATTAATTTTAACACAAACACCAAAGGAAGATGAACCAGAATATTAGCATTAAGCTCTGTAAGACTAGTGATGTTGATATCACTATTCATAATACCGTATATGTAACTGATTTAGATGCAGGTTTGTGCAGTAATATCTGCGAATTTGCCGACGATACAAAAATTGGGAGGGAAATGAACATAATCAAGGAAAATGCAGGAGGCCTATTGGCCCATATGAGGTAGTTCCTATTTATATCCACCCAGTCTCATTCATGTCTAACCTACATTTGAAACAATCAAGGGATCCTACTTCTATTATGTTACAGTGGTAGCTCAGATTATGAGCGTCCCTGGTTAAGAGTTTTTTGGGTTACGAGCAGGATTTGCTCGGAAAATTTGGATTGAGATACGAGGGTGTTGATACACATACGGGCTGACCTTTTGCGTGGTGGCACGGCGATGGGGCCTCGATTTACCAGAGCCTCGCGCCCAGTGATTATCCCACCTGAATTCTTCACAAGGATTTACAGTTTTTCTTGGATTTTTGGTCATTGAGCATAAAAGTTGTTATATATCTCGCCATGAGTCCCAAGAAAGCCAGAGGTAAGGTTCAACCTAAGAAAATAGTTGTGAGTAGAGGATATCCCTTCCTCATTAAGAAAATGTGTGAAGTATGGGAAGAACTGCAAAGTTTTGTTGAAAAAACTCGCCCAGATAAAGCTGTAGCAGGCCATTGCATTGACCTTTTAAATGGCAATGTCTTACTACAGACAAGTGTTACAAAGAAGGGAAAAACAATCTTCAATGGGTCGTTTCGTTGTGAGAAAATCGAACAGAGAGCCATAACCAGGACCTAGTGGATTGCTGGCAAAACGTGTAAGAGAGTGCACTCCAGAAAAATCTTTATTGCCTGATGTTATAATGGAAGGGGACTCCCCTTCCAAACAGTAACACCTCTTCTCCTCCCCCCTCCTCACCATCTTCCATACGCCAACAGCAGTCATCAGCAAGGGTAAGTAATAACTTGAACATACTTTTGTAGTGTAGATTTGGATGAATTAGGTATAAAGTTTAGTTTGAAGTGAGGTTTTTGGGTAGTCAGGAACGGATTAATTCATTCCCAATTATTTCTTATGGGGAAATTAGCTTCAGTTTACGAGTTTTCGGGTTACGAGCTGTCTCCAGGAACGGATTAAACCGAGATACCCCTGTATGTGGTAATTGGTTCCACAAATCAACTCCTATGTTACTGAACCAGTATTTAACCAGGTCTTTCCTAAATCTAAACTTATAAAAAATTTACCCATTATTTCGTGTTCTATTATGTGTTAATATTTTTAATATCCCCTTTGTTATGCTCTTTTAGAGAATATAACAGTACGTCAACATCAATGCTTTCTGTCTTCTCTTCCTAGTGATCTATGCAATATCCTGGTTCCCATCGCATTTGACACTGCTCACCTCTCCTCTTCCCACCACTCCTCCACACAACACAACAAACTTCAACATCTGATTTCCATCAGTCCTTCAGCTAAATACTCTCTTTCTGACTGGGTTACCAACCATTCATCTTCCCTTCTCTCTAAACACCAGCAAGAACTTCTCGGACTTGGTCTCTCTTTTGCTACTTCCCCTGGCCCGAGCTGTAGCATTGACCTCATTAGTTCCTTTGATAAGTTTGTCAATTCTAACTCTAGTACTCTTCCAGACCTTTTTGCTTTTAGGGGGCCCTTATCCTCGTTCTTGACAATTTTTCTAAATATCGCCACCTTACTCATTACTTCCAGCTTGCCCTTTGCCTCCCTGAAATCTAACACTTCTATTCTTATCCTTCCTTCCAACAAAGGCAATTCAGTGGTTGCCCTTGACGGTGTGGACTACCTCCAGAAAGCAGATGTCTTGCTCTCTGACTTGCGCACATATGATCTTCTGACTTCTAACCCTTTGGATTGCCTTAAAATTTCCTACAACCGCAAATTAAGACAGCTCTCCAGTCTCTGTCCTCCTGACTTCGATCTTATAAAACGTTTGAGTCATCTGCTCTTCCTTTCCTTATTTCTATGGTCTACCTAAGACTAATACACCTGATGGGGCTCTGTCAGCTATCCTCTTGCCTCCTGGCTAGCAAAAACTCTGACACCTTACTTTGGCACTTTTTCTCCAGCCCACCTCTGTCATTCTCAGGACATCATAGAAAGAGTGCGTCTGTAGCTCTCCTGTAAGATGCTTAGTCTTGATGGCGACTCATTGTTTACTAATGTTCCCCTTGATGACATTCTCTCCTTAGTCAGAAGGCGACTGAGGGCCTTCTTCCTCTCCCGCTTCCAACTGACGTTTTCCTCGAACTCATCAAACTCTGTGTTGACTTTAACTCAATCTCTTTCAACGGTAAATACTTCTCTCGGACTTTTGGTGTCGCTATGGGTTTCCCTCTTTCCCCCTGTTCTTGCCAATCTATGCATGGAATACTTGGAAACTGTTCTTCCTTCTATTGATACTCGTCCCTCTCTCTGGCTTTGCAAAGTTGATGACATTTTTGCTTTATGGCCTCATGACCTTAGTCTTTTCCAGCCTTTCCTCTCCTCTCTTAACAATCTGGTTCCTTCCAATTATTTCAAAGTTGAATGGGAATCTAATTCCCTCTTTCCTGACGTTCACATTCACAGCTCTGTGTCTGGGTTCAGTTTCTCTGTCTACCGCAAATCCATGCATAGTGGCATGTACATTCACTTCTTTTCCTATCATCCTTCTTCTGTTAAGAAAAGTGTCCTCGTCTCTCTCTTCCTCCGCGTTCTACGCATCAGCGTCCCTCTCTTCCTCCGCGCTCTACGCATCAGCGTCCCTCAGTTTCTTGATTCCGAAATTTCCTTTATCTACAAATCTTTCTCTCGCCTTGGTTACCCTTTACAATTTATGAACTGTGCCTATTCTCAAGCTAAACGAAAATTTCTTTCATCATAAACCTGCTTCCAACCCTTTCAACACTGTGCTCTGCCTTTCCTTCATATCTGAACTCAAAACTCTTACTAATACCTTTAGTCCTCTTGAAATAAAGTTCGCCTTTCGACAAACTAACACTCTTCGTAGCAATCTAGTTCACAATGCTACCCCTGCTTCTAATGCTGCTGGTGTCTACACTTTTTCCTGTTCGTCTTGTCCTCTCCAATACTTTGGTGAAACTGGCCGTACACTGAATGGCAAGACTTAAGGAACACAAAAGAATTGTCAAGTCTACAGACACAAACAATGCTCTCTTCTGCCATGGTTGGGATTATAATCATCCTATTGATTGTTTTTTCTCTAAAATAATCTTTCCTGCCTTTACACAGACGCCGTCTTGTCGAATCAGCTCTGATACACAACCTACCCAACATGAACTTGAGTCCGGGCTTTGTTGCTGTTGACTCTTTTCACAGTACATACTTAAATGATCTAAACTTTCTAACAAACGTGACCTAACATAAGCCTACCCTTCCTTTTTCTTTTTATTTCTCTTGTTCCTCGTACATTTCCATTCTTACCTCTATTATTACACCTTACCTTCTGTACCTCTTAGCTTGCTCTTATCTTCCTCTAAGATTTGTCTCCTCACCTCTCTTGCCTTACTTAATACCCTTGCCTCCCTCGTCTCTCCACTTCAAATACTAGGACAAAAACAGTGGAAAGATAATGTGGAAATAATTACCACCATTTTGTATCAAGGAGCAGTCGCTAAAGGCAAAGGCCTCAACATAACCTTAAACTGGATCCCATCCCATATTGGAATCCCATTAAATGAAAAAGCTGATGAAATTGCTAAATTGGCAACTCGTCATCCAGTGATACATAAAACAATTCAACCCAGCCTAGAGAACATAAAAAACATCATCACCAAAAAACTCTCACATCTCAACAAAGCCTACCTGCACCAGAGAATAGCTGAAGGTTCGCCATCTGCAACATGGTATCTTCAGGCAACCAAATTAGAAAGGTTAAATATCCCAAAAGGAATCCACAGGGAAATAGCAGTTAGGTTATATAGACTACGTCTAGGTTACAGATGCAACTGGGAGATTGGTGAACCCCGACAGAGAGAGTGCATCTTCTGCCAAACTGTCACAGAAAAGCCATTACTTCACTATCTTCTGGAATGTGAAGCAACCAATGACCTTAGAAGAGCTTTAGAGTTCCTGAATCATGCAGTGGCCACCCTGAAGCCATCAACACAGCCACTCTCCTGGTCAACAAAGGTGTCCAGCAGCTGGACACCCTCATAAAGACTGTGAAGCAGTATCCTCCCCCACGATAACAGCTTGATGGTTAAATGCAACCTCAGAACACTGGAAAAAAAAAATTGTACCACTTACGGGCTATTCATGCCCGTGCCACCTCTTGGGTGGCTTAATCTTTATCAATCAATCTCGTCTCTCCATCTGGTCACCACTTGGTCCGGGAGACATCTCCCGTCACGCAGGGTGCAGTCGCGCCTCCACAGATCTCCAGTATCAGCTCTTGATACTGGTAATGGCTCAAAAGGGCCACCACTTACGGGCTATTCATGCCCGTGCCACCTCTTGGGTGGCTTAATCTTCATGAATCAATCAATCAATCATCAAGGCACCATCTGGTCACCATTTGGTCCGGGAGACATCTCCCGTCACGCTGGGTGCAGTCGCACCTCCACAGATCTCCAGTATCATCTATTGATACTGGTGATGGCTCAAAAGGGCCACCACTTACGAGCTATTCATGCCCGTGCCACCTTTTGGGCGGCTTCATCTTCATCTTAACACATTCACAAGAGAGACATCTCCCATCTTGCAGGGTGCATTCGCACCTCCACAGATCTCCAGTATCAGCTCTTGATACTGGTAATGGCTTAAAATGGCCACCACTTACGGGCTATTTATGCCCGTGCCACCTTTTGGGTTGCTTCATCTTCATCTTAACACATTCATAAGGGAGACATCTCCCGTCATGCAGGGTGCATTCGCACCTCCACAGATCTCCAG